GAAGAAACTATCATTGTTCTGCCACGAAACAACGGACCGGTGTATTGTTTTCGTTTCTTCTCAGCGAGGTTGTAGCAGAGTGGAAGAAGAACGTGAACTACTAACGGTACCAAGATGGCGGTTAAAGGACGCGGAAAGTAATTTTTACCTTATTACCGAAGCCTGGCCAGCTTTTCTTACCGGAATGTAATTTCCCCCCTTTTCGAGGAGCTTAATTAACTTCTTTGGCCCGCGCCGAGCCCGAGTCGGCACTTTAAATATAGTTCGTTAAGAGAGAATGGAACTAAAAATACGACGGATTAAAGTCCGGGCAAAGGAACGGGCCCCTTGTACGCGCTAAGTCTGCGAAACGTAAGCGACATTGTCTCGAGACGGCTTAAGCGGATCGTTTGTACCTTCGAAATTCGTTCTCTGGTTCAACGTGAATATCGAAACGAGCGTGTTTCATCTGGAAGTGATGAAAGGAACTTTACAAATGTTTCATTAGTTCTTCTTCGTAAATTCACCCTTCGATATTATACGTGGTGAGCCGATAAGAATTGCCACCTTGAGTATCTCCGGGACCGTGAAAGTAGGATAAAAATTGTTTGGTAGAAAAGGGTAATCGTGTTAGATTGGATCTGTGAAGAGATTTGAAGGACCTGTAACAAAATTTCAGTCAAGTTCGCAGAGAAATATGTGCCTCGATAAATGTTGACGTCAGAATTTAGAGAGAACTTGTAAATTTGTTTGTAAAATTAGAAATTTAACTTCTGTGACCTTGACTGAAATGTTACAGGACTTTGTATTTACCTTAAGAGCTGTCATCAGTATATAAATAAAAAAAACAGGGATGACCGTTAGATCTCTTCAACGACTCACCAACGTACGATGGCTCTTTCACACGAAACAATCTTTATTGCAAAAATTCTTTTCGTTCTTTCACGCTCGCCGAGACACTCCAGGTGGCAATTCTTATCGGTTCACCCTGTATACACGGGGAATTACAGCGAAAATCACGAGAGAACATTTGGGAAACGACAATACGCACTCGACACAAAGGGCCCTAGCTACTCAACATTAAACAACCCGATCAAACCCTCATGATCTACTCGAACCGGCACGCAAAGGGGCAATCGTCGAGGCCCTCCCTTCCCTCTCAGCTCCCCTTTATCAGCTTAGTTACCCTTATTTCCTGCGAGATTCGCGTATCTCTCGTAGGATGCGGAAGCGACGGTCGAGCGAGCTTTCTCGTCTGTTCGATCGTCCCCGCATAAAATCCTCTATTTTCCAAGCGACACGTCCGAACGAACGGACGCCCAGCTCCAGCGTACGTGTTTTCGATCGTGAGTCGAGATTGCCGATGGTGAGGTTACTCCTTCGTCTAACTGCACTGTTGGAAAACGGTTCCTCCATTGTTGTTATTCGATTCGCATTTCCAGCCTAGTCAGCATCGAGCCGTTCAGTCTGGCTCCTCGAAGTGCATACGTAAGCCTATGGCGACGACCAAACCTCCACCTCTACCCTAATCATATCCGGTTTGCTCCAAGGAATACACCTCAACCTCACCTTTTCTCACAGCGTGGAAGAAGACAGAGTCAGCGAAGTTGATCGACACGAGCAGAGGTGATGCAAAAAGCAAGGCGGCAGAAGGCTGACGTAGCAGAGGTAGCGGGCATGAATCTGAAAAGGTGCGGGCCACGTTCACGCGACGATGATTTACGGGCATATTAGGTCGATAAGATATGTTCCGGTTCGTTGACCCGGAGGAAGCTCTATTTTTAAGGCGCCTCGCGGAGACACCGGAGAGCTTTCTCTCCGTCCGTCCCACCTACAGCTTCCTCTATCTTCCAGCAGCCTTCCCCACGCGAAAACCCTCTCTCACGTCCCTTGATCCGCCGCGTCATGGATCTTGTCACGGATCCCGGTTTTTCAGGAGAGCGCCCGATAAAACAGCCCCGGCGAAGGAGACAACGCGGCCCGTTGAATATATTCTTATCCTGGAAACGGAAACGACCAGCGCACCCAGATAAGAAGACGACGTCTCGCCACGCTGTTACGCGAAACGAAGAACCAAGCCTTCGAACGTTTTCAACGGGCGTCAGATGAGATCGACAAACCTCGGCAAACTGTCGTCGATGAATCGAATTCCGCTCATCTTCGCCAACCTTCGAAACGCCGGGGAATAAAGAAGAAACACGACTGTGTGTGTGTGTGTGTATCGAGAGAGGGTGGCTACGAAGCAAATCACGAACCCGATGGGAATAAATATTTCATAGCGTCGAAGACGTACTATCGTTCCGATCGAGAGAGGATGAATTATTCCGTGTAAGAACAGAACCCGTGGTGCGCCCTCTTCGCCTAGCCACACGGATGGACATCCTCTCCCCTTCTAGCCGGGGATGTTTAATGTAAGACGAGCCTCGGGCGAAGAAGAGAGGAGGAGGGCTACGTCGTTGGACGCGCGACGAATTTTTCCTTCCGTTCGCGACGCTCGTCGAACTTGTTCCCCTTGAACGAGGGTCGCGGTAATGCATTCTTCCAGATAGAAACTCACGGTAGAAGATGAGAGATATATTTCCATATCGACGTCGGAGTCGTGCACGATCAATCAAAACAGCACGTTACTCCGTGGAGCAGAGATTTGTCTCTTTTTCGTCCTCGCTGGTTGGCCGAGACTGGGTAAACTACGCGGGGTTGTTGAACAAGGAAGAATAGAGGGTAGAATATAACTAGAGAGATAGAAAGATAGAGAGGGGGAGTGGAGAAAAGCAAGCGGTGTACCAGGCAGACAACATAATGCAGATAACGAGGAAGAAGTTTCGCGTGCCTGCTCTGACAGTGACGTCTCTGCTAACGATGGCACCGACGCTGTTGACGGCGGAACACTTATAAATGGCCCAGTGGACGTCCTGTCGGAAGGACTCGGCCTCGAAGCCAGGAAAGTGGATGGTCCCGTTGCCAAGGACGTGTCTGGTTCCAGGGATACTCGTTATACTGCCGCCGTCCGCTGCCAGCCAGTCGACGGTAGGTGCCGGATTTCCTCTCACTATGCAGTCCACCCTGCCTCCGTTCACATTCGTGAATTCCACCCGCGACGGTGGTTCCGACACGAAGCTCGGTCCCTGCATCTCGTACGAGGCGCCGCAACCTGCAACAAACGGGACAGGTATCGTCATAATGAGCCGCGCGGATTTCTCTCTACCAGCATTCCCACCTCTTACACGTACTCGACGTTTCGTTTCGTCGAAAACTAGACGCGCGTATGCTTTCAGAACACTGTTCGTTTCAATTTTCTACGCGGCTTTTTGTTTTGGCGAAACGAGAGAGAGGCTTCGTTCGTCCTCCTCCCACTTTACCTGTCGCCCAGTGTATTAACAGTATACCTGTACGAATGAAGATTAAATCTATGGGAAAAGGACGTTATCAATTCTCCTTTCTCTAGGGTGAATGAAAACTGGGGATGATTGAATTTGTTACGAATACTATAGTAAGAGAGATTACGGCATGAATAAGTTAGCTTAACTATATTTCATCATTGTCATTTTTGTCAAATGAATTATATCGCCGATAGAAAAATTCCGTGGAATAATCAAACTTCCACGGATTAAATTCCCTTCGTTCGCCTGTGTTCGTGATCTAAACAATCCTCCGGCCGAACAAAAAACGCATTGAAACCTGGTGTGTGTGTGAAGGGGACTCGGTGAATGTATCGCGAAATGAAACGGCAAGCTTTAAGGGGGTGGAGAGGAGGATTCGATGGATTTTAATGAAACGCGATTAGCAGTTTGCCCATAAATTGGACGCGCCGGGGTTTGGCGTGGCCGATCCGTTTCATTCGTACGCTCTCGACCGAGGTAAAATAAATTTTCCTTACTGTTTCAATCGGCAGTTAGACGGTTATTAATCATGGTAACGGCGCTGTGGACATCGGTTGATGAATTTTTTTCTCTCGCTCGGCTTGCCGGGTTCAAAGTAATTTTCCGAAAATGTACGAGAGGAATGAGCGAGAGAGATAGAGAGGGTGAAAATGGCGGTGGTAGGATACAGGAGGAGGGAAGCGGAGGGATGATGGTGGACTGTATCGTCGACGGGACATGAACGAAGATAATACGGCTGGCCATAAATCACACATTTAACGCTGAAATTCGGCCGTAATAGCTTCCATAAATGGAGCGCATTGCGTCCCCCGCGAAGCCTGTTAACCATTCATCACCCGAGTTATGTTGATTTAAGTAGGAAAAACGCCTGGATGTATTCCGCATTCCGTCCAACATTGCCCATCTGGAACCTGGCCCAACCAAGTACACCGAATACCCCAAGGTACGTGCAACGAATATCGCGTGTCCCTGCATCCACGTACGTAACGCCTGTTACCTTTTAGTTAATAACGTTCGATGGAGAAGGTTTGCTCCTGTCGAACGTCGAGGAAAAAGCTCGCTGTGTATAGAGGATGTTTCGCAAATGCGTGTCGATACTTCAGGGGGTAAATGTACAGGCAGAAACCAGTAAAAAGTGTCATATGGACGTACACTTTATTGATTTGAAATTGATATTGTGAAGATCAATAGCACTTTACCTCATTTCGATTGATTTGAACGATAAAAAATTCGTTGGAAAATTATCGTAGTATCGGGGCCTCCATACCCAAATAGGAAACCTCGAAAGGACAATAGAGAGGGAGTGGTTGGCGTAGCACGCAAAGCGTCGGCTTGCTAAGCCGAAGGTCCCGAGTTCGATTCCCGTTGGGTCCCTCAATATTTTTCCCTAGATTCCTACATATGGGGGCTCGTCCGGGATGGAGGCATCTACGGCTACACGAAGCCAGGCGCTGTGAGATGAAAAATGTGAGAGGGTGCACGTCTCCTAAAAGAGTTGAGAAAACAGAGTTCGGCTGAGAGAGTGCCACTGTGTATCCAAAAATGCGTTGTTTCGGCTGTGTGCCACTGTGTGGGGAGTGTGCCCGAAAGTGTTGAGTTGAGTTGTGTTGCACTGAGGGCATTCGAGGGCGAATGTGTCAGTTCAGGATGGCCGAGTGTAGTATCGGGGCCTCCATAGCCAAATAGGAAACCTCGAAGGGAGAATATAGAGGGAGGGTAGTCGCCAACCCTCAAGCTAATGGGCTTTTATATAGTAAATTTTCCCCTTCCACACACTGCACACTAATCAAAAAGAACATCATGCCCTGAAAAGCACAGACAAACCCCCCGCCTAGCGCCAGATGCCTCCGGGCAGGCAGCGCACCACTAGACTCAAGACAAATATTGTATATAACATAACTAATTACAATATGTACTACATTTAAGTAAATAATAATAATAATAATGGTCGGCGTAGCGCGCAAAATCTCGGCTTGCTTAGCCGAAGGTCTCGGTTTCGATTCCCGTTGGGTCTCTCAATATTTTTCCGTCGTCGCTTCCTGCATTATCATAAATGCTAACCTTTCTGAGGAATTTTTGTGCAACTTGCAATGCACAGTGATTCCAAACATTTGGCCGGTAGTGTACGTGGTTTGTCTGGAAAGTATTCGAGCTTGTAGCAGGAAGAAGTATCATTTTTGGTTAATATCGATGGTGCTTCCTTTAAAATATTGCCCTTTGGAAGCCACGACCTTGTTCCAGCGATCCTCCCACTTATGGAAACACTGAAATTGTCTTTAGGAATAGCGAACAGTTACCTCGTCGTATTTCGTTTTACCGTTTCAACGTCCGCAAATGTTTTTCCTTCGCGTCTTGACTGTACATAATGTTTATAAATAATGTCCATCGATACGAAGCAGATGACACTTTGGCCATCAAAAATATACGTTCCCATTTGGAAACTTACATTTACAGGGCTTTACAGTTTTCGTCTGAAATATTTTCTTGTACCATTCGTAGGTTTCGAGATACTTCCGTGTTCTGAGATAAACCGGAAGTGCCGTGTAACTCGAAAACTAAGATACGTAGGACATATGCCCGTGTGTCATTTTTTACTGGTTTTAGTGTAACCTGTTCTGCTGTGGATCGAAGATTACGAAATCGTTATGTTACACCCTCAAATACTTTCTTTCTTAGTCTTAGCCTTATCTGTAAACTAGTCGCCAACTTTCACCATAACTCACACTGGACTCTTTTCCTCTCAACTCTCCTACACAGTCGTAACCCAAAGTTCATCTTCCTCGAACCCTCAAACAGCCCTATTTCTCCATCCTCGATTCACTCTCTGGATCGTCATCCGCACGTCACGTTCCGCCAGTTTCAATAAACTTTCTTTTCCGCGCAACGTCGATCTTTAATTGTTTCGAGTTTCAATTTCGAGAAATTCAGACAGAACCGGGCATCCCATAAATTGGTGCCGAAAGCGGGAAGTATTATATTCGAAGGAAATTTTGTAGCGACGACGTAATGTGCTTGCCAAAAAATAGAAAATATATGAAAAAGTTGTGGAATGAGAAGACTTTATGGGACTTGAAGGTTTCTTGGAGATATTGATCTAAATTGTAAAATTCGACACGAATTTAATGGATAACGTGATACATACATATTTAGCTTGAGTATGGGATCGAGTGTGAGAATCTTTCGTCCATTTCGAAGATAAAGAAACGTGGTAGGTTTTTAGAAGCTTGTTCACAAGGTTACACCTCGGCTAGAAGTCTACGTTAATTAACTTCCCCCTCGACGATGCCAGACGACTCTCGCGACGATCTTTACACAGGATGGAAGTCGCGAGATTCCTCGAATAATGAAGAATTTTTAATAATGTAGTATCGCGCAGGTGGTCGGCAAAATGGCAACCGTTGTGCGATTGTAACGTTTGCACAGGCGTGTGTGAGCTAAGAGTTAGGTTTAAGGCTTTGAATTATAAGAGATCTGTTCAGTTTTAGCAAACTCTGAGTGAGAATTCACGGAAGGAAGAAAATTCGTACTTTTCCTTGGGAACAAAATGCGTTTCGAGTGCACGTATGTATACAGAGTGTCCAATTTTAATCTATAAATGCGAATTACTCGTGAACTACCTGCTGTATGAAAAATTGTTCAGAGTGGAATTGAATGGTTTCCAGGGGAACATAATCTGGTGTAATTAATTTTTCTCTAAATGGACGCGTGAAGTTGGCATAAAATTTCTCAAATGGAATCGAATAATTTTTAACGCATTAGTCGAAGCACCTTTTTATTTAGGTGTTTACGACGAGAAACCATTACTTTGGAAAATATTTTAGTCTCAATATTGCAGAATGACACTAGTTATCAGCACCATTTTCTGAACGAACAGAGAGCATTGTTTTTTACAAAATATAAACAGGCAATGAGACCAAGTTAGTCGTATCACTGAGAACCGACTTAAACTTTCGCTACACGGTATATTTTCTGAATTGACAGTAGGCATTGTTGTTGGATACCAGCCTACCACAACGTGGCTCATGGATGCAATTTTTGGTAAACACCATCGCATCGCGAACACTCATTTCGTCAAATATTTTGTACTTTAGCTCGTAGTCACTTAGAACCTTTGCTAGTCCCTTCCACGTCTTCTTCTAAACCCTGTAAATACAGCAACTTCAAAAGCGGCGTCAATCATTATTGCCAATATCCACGTGCGACTCACAAAGTGTTATAAACTTGAATAAACCTCTCGTTAAGATTTTAAAAGCGTTCCACTACCCGGAATTCAACATTATATTTCACAAAGTGATAGAAGGCCAATCACAAAGAGTCAATCATATCATCGACGATCAGTGCAACATCTTCGAACATTTCACCTTTGTAAGAGTATGATCGAGCGAATTTGGGACTCGCGCTGGTTTATGACCCGCAGACAGAGAGGTCCCAACTCCTTGACACCCCTATACGCTAAGAGCTTGGTCAGGTAAGGACCCCCAACCTGTGCCAGTGTTTCCCGGAAGCAAGAGAGGGGCGTCAAGGCTCGTATATAAGGACGCGTTAAATAAGAATGTAACAGATTGTATTAGAACGAATTAGGAAGCGTGTAGTTCATAAGGACGGACCAGAAAGGAACGACGCGCCAACGACGAACGAATATATAGCTTTCAACATCCGTTTAAGCATCCTGACAAATATTATTTAGACCAGCCAGCCCTTACACCTCTCAATTAACTTCATCACTTTACTTCTCTGTTGCGTCGTGGACT